AGCGGAGCCCGCGGCCCCCAGAGAGCGGAGCCGGGAATCGCGCTGCCCCCTCGCGGGCGCCGCCCCAGGGCGCGCCCCGCTGTTTCACAAAGCTCCGCGGGACAACGTGCGCCGTGGCGCGTTCCCGCAGCTGCGCCTGGCCCGCCAAGTGCTCGGCCTCGGTTCGGAAATGGCCCACGAAGATGCAAGTTTATCGGTGGGCAAGGGTGCCAGGGCAGAGGAAACTTCTGAATTCGCGCTTATTTAAGTATAATCAGCATTAACGCTTGGCAAATCAAGGGGGCAATTCTTCTGGAAGCTAAGCAAACCAAATGCAAGTGGGGGTGTCCCAGCACACCTAAATATACCTTCTTCTCGCAGTTCAGAAAGGTACCCTGACTTCTCAAGCCACAGGCTTCATGAGAAAACAAATCTTTCACTAGGATGAATATAGAGCAAAAAAGAGACTTCAAATCCTTAAGCAGTAAAGCTTGCCAGGAGGTACTGCTGACTGTAAGGTCCAAGGGCTGGATGCACAGGACAACTTACAGGAAAGAAGTCCATCTGATATACATGAGATGAGGGTCTATATACCACTGTCACAAGGGAGGTTTGGGATTCCTCTGTCAGCCTCCTGCCAGAATCACCTGGCGGTGCCTGGCTTTTCTCACATTGCTCGCTTGCTATGTGATGTGGCACCTCGTGGCCAAACAAGAATGGGGCGGCTGTGAGCCAGGCTGAAGGCAGCCAGCAAGCCCACCAGTGGGCAATGTCTAGGAAGACAGAGACACTCCTGAATTCTATGCAATAGATATTGGTGATATCCCTTATTTGCTGGGGGGAATATAGAGCTAAAGTTGAAATGAAGACATCTCATCCTCCTTCTATCAACTAGTATAAGAAAAATTGGTTATTAGTAAAGTCAAGAAGAGTGTGAGAAGTGCTCTAACGTTTTCTGTTTACAACACTGGTCTGGCAGAGATGAAACCTTCTGTCCTAGCTTCTGCTTAATGAATATCTAATTATTTTACACAAAATGCATCAGCATTTATTTTTATTTCCTTGTGTGACAGCTGTGTATATAAACCCGCTAGTAAATGTATGCCTCAGGTCTCCAACAGGAACACCTATACAGGAACCTATACAACACCAACAGGAAATACCTATATCTCATTTTATGCATATAAACACTCCTAAATCTTTAATGTAAAGATTTGGAACTTAATTATAGTTACTACGTAGTATTTCCTAGAAAACAAAGCTGATAAGAGTAATAAGTGATTCTATAGATTTTTTTTTCCCACGGGCATTTGTTCCAGATATAGACTAAATACATCTAAAAGAAGATAAATACGAACTTGATAATAATCAGTTTTGTATTTGCACTCCTTACTGTATTTTATACAGGGTTTTTATAATGATGCTATTCTATAAGCATATTGCCACCTGTAGCACACCCTGTTGCTTTACTTTGTTTACTCTAATTTTCCTATGGGTTTTAATTAAAGATAAATTCAAAAGTAAATGCTATTTCTGGTAAAGTTCTTCCTTTGCTTCTGAGTATTTATTGATATTTCTACTTAAAATATATTATGTGTATGCATATATACAATGCATGATGGGATAAGGTGGCATGGAGGCTGCAGGGTTTTCACTATTACCTATATTGTGGTTGTAAAACAGTCTAATATAAAAGTTAAAATTCTTATTTATCCACTGATATACACATATATCAGTAGATTAGAAACACAAAAGCTTTCCTTTCTTTAACTTTTAAATCAATTGATTTAAGATGGTATTAAATAGAAGAAAAGAATTCACTACAGCAAGATGCCACTCATATCATGTTATCTTTAGAAAATGAATAAACTGGAGAGCAAATCAAAAATGTAAACAGAAATTGAAAAACTGAAGCCAAATGGAGACTGGAATCTTATCAGCCTTCAAGACAGCCAAACATCATCTTAATGTTTAATTTCATTTTTGATTCAAGAACAAAAATATTATTTTCCAACGTAATTCATGTAACTTGTCTCTTAGCTTCATTAGCTTTCATTGGAAAAGGGGATATTCCTGAAGCATTCTTTGTGTTTTTAATAAGTGCCATAGGGCCATGAAGGAGATGCACTTTGGAGAACTCTCTCTCCCATGCAGTGCATAAGCGGTCCTAACAAATCTGCTTTGTGAAATCTCTGGATCTGTAGCAGAGTCACTCATACATCGTGATCCTCCAATGACTCTTAACAAAACAACACTTTTTTTTTTGTTAACTCAGGCAAGCTACTGCTGCCCAAACTACCGTTTGAATGAAAACTGGGACCAGAAATAGCTCACTTTTTTTCTGCCTACCTTTTGAGAGTGGTGTATCAGTATCTTCTCCACGGAGAAAGTAAAAACGGCAAGCACTTCTGGACCAGTCACATTTACTTTTTAAGTGTATTCCTGCAGCAATAATGTCTCATATAAAGTCTTTTACTCAGCAAGTAAAAAAACTGTTTATCGATTAGGAGGAAACAAGTTATGTTGCCTTTCATGATCTGAAAAGCAGTTCCATCTTCTGGATAGTGCTCCAACAAGCTCTTTGGCACACAAATGCCGGTATCTGTTGCAATATGGTCTGACAATGAGCAATGTTCAGGTTGGATTTATTTTTTCACTTTCTGAAATAATTTCCATTAAAGATTCATAATCAGCATATTCTCTCAGGGATTGTATCATTTCATCTAGCATGTCTTCCCCTAACATGAAGCATTCAATATGATGCACAGATCTGCTTATCCTGTGGTCAGTAATCCGGTCCTGCGGAAAGTTGTATGTTCTGATCTTCTCTGATCTTCCTTTAGTCCCAATCTATCAAACAAAAAGAAGTGGTTTCACATGATCACATTCTTTTTATACAAAGAATGAAGTATGGCTTAAGCATCTGAATATAAATCCTTCTCTTCCTTTCATAAATATACAAAATACTAAGACCAGCTCACTAATTACAGTAATTGTGGTTAAGTATCTAAAAGACCAGTTTTACTACATCTTTCTCTAATACTGTTCTGGTTATTCATGCTCCAATCCAGTTTGTTTCACTAGGCTGCTAGAATTTCTCTTCTGCTGATCTATGTTGCTGACCTAGAATGTAATTTTTATTTCTTTGTCTCATACAAGTCCTTTTTGCTCTCCTGTTCCACTACAGTTCCATTTCCCACTTGCAATAAAACAAGAGTTACCTCTTACACATACACACATACAGAGTTATGTCTTTGCAAAGTGAAACTTACCTGAATCTTTCGGACACTGTTCCGCTTTTTGTTTTCTTCTTCCATTTTGAGATTGTATAGTTTGGCAGAAAGCATTTGCATAGCCTTTTCTTTGTTTCTTATTTGAGACCTTTCTTGTTGACATTCAGATACGATTCCTGCAAAAAAAAAAAATCATGAGACTTAACACTTAATAGTAACACATACAAAAAGGGTTTCACAAATTCTGTAAAATTTTTATTAAAGATTAAAATAAACAGCTTCTTTCTTCAACAAATATTTTGGAGACTGAGAATGTAAAAGTCTCAGCTTATTTATATCTCACAATGGAGCTTGGAGGACAGGTGAGTGTTG